GCTACATCAGTACTTTATTTTATCCGTAGTGGAATCACCAATACCAAATTTTGTGGAATAAGCTTTTCAAGGATGTTTTGTTCCTTTCCATGAGAAAACCCCATTAACGTTAAGATTTGCTTATGGCACAAGCTTGACTCTATCGGAGGGAAAAATCAGTCTCTTTTTATCATTTGGGGTGGTAGGTGTGCAAAAAGTGTTCATATAGCAGGCTGAGACTGCTTATGCCTAGAATGCCATGCTTGCAAAACTGACCCTCAGCTGGCATCTGGGAACTTGGATTTCTAGAGGGTCCTCACCACCCAGACTGATAAGACTGGCTCACTAGGCATAAGCTGTTTGTGCAAACAGTGTGATTGATGCTGAGCACCTGCTTTCCTTCTGGGATTCTGGAATTTTGGTAATGCCAGGTAGAAGTTGCCTACCTGACTAGCCCCTAGTGAAAACCTTGGGTGCTAAGTCTTTAAGGATCTCCTTTGGTAGACAGTATTTCACAACTTCTTGCTGCAGAAATCAAGCAAGTCCTGTGTGACTCCACAGGGGGAAGACTCCACAGGGAGAGGACTCTTGGAAGCTTGCACCTAGTTTCCTCCAGACTTCACCCTATGCATATTTTCACTTTGCTGATTTTGTTTTGTAATTAATGGCTTTGGCTTTGTAATTAATCATAGCCATGAGTATGACTAGCCAGCCCTAGTGGTCTAGTGGTTAAGATTCTGTGCTCTCATCACTGCCGCCCAGGTTCATTTCCAGTCAGGGAACCACACTACCCATCTGGTGGTTGTCACACTGTGGTGGCTGCCTGTTGCTGTGATGCTGAAAGGATGGAGCAAAAAGACCAGGCAGTGTTCAGCTCTGCTGTACACAGGGTCCCTAGGAGTCAGAATCGACTCCACGGGACTAACAACAACGTGTATGATTATATGCTAAGTCCTGTGAGTTCTCCTAGGGTAATGGTAGCTGCTGTAACAAATCAATGCCAAGACTGCAGAGGCTCAATATGATAGTTTATTTCTTATTGGTGTAAAGATCAATGCCAGTGCTGGTGGGCCAGTGGCCTTGTACTCGGTCATTGAGGACCCAGGCGCTTTCCGTCTTGCACTCCATCTTCATCTAAGGCCTCTGAGTCCTGTCCGTTAAGTTTGCAGATGGAAAAGGAGACTGTGGAAAAGATGTGCCCCATTCTTGACCTCTTAATCTTAACCCCAGCATTGGTCCCAAGATGACACAGATCACCACCTCTGGTCACATTCCATTGGCAATCACTAGTCATACGGTCCCATCTAGATGCAAGGGGGCTAGGATATGTGGTCTCTGCTTGGTGGCTGTTCCCCTGCAGCAACTCTGTGGAAAGAAAGCATGGATCCTTGATGACCTGCACCAGCACTGCAATACTTACTATGAACCTGTTGTGTGCTCAACTTCATACCAAGTGCTATGAGACAACACAAAGAAGTTGTTCTTGCCCACGCGGAGGTTGACATGTAAAAGGGCACTGGTCAAGGATGAGGAGGCAAGGCTCAGTTTTTCTGGGAAGTGTTCTTTCCTATTAGACCCTTCTTCTGTGTTTCCATAGTAATTGGTGCTTATCCCTCTCATAGCACTTATCCCAGTGCATTGAAACGTTCCGTATTCTTGTCTGACCCTCCCACTGAATTACAGTGTTTTTGAGGTCACAACTTCAATTACCTTCACAACTTCTGTTGACCGGCATGTATCCCTAGCGCCCAGCACAGAGCCCAGCACATCTGAGATAGGTAGTAAATGCATAAATGAGTAAGTGCTTGAATGGGACGGTGAGATGCAGTGCAGTACCGCACTGTGAGCATGTGCTTCGAGTTAGTCAAATCTTCTCATCTCTTGTAACCTTACAAAAGTTACTTAACTTCTCTGAATCTGAATTTTCCATTCTTAGAATGGAGAGAAAAATACCAACTTTGCAGGGTTGTCATAAGATTTTCTGAGATTATGCGTGTGTATACAGCATCCAGCCCTGTGCTAGGTACACAGTAAACTCTTAAAACATGGTACTTAGTATTAACATAATTACTGCCAATGGGATACCAGTTTCAACATTCACTTACCCCAGATACCCTCTTTAATAGAAGCCACTAGAAGCCATAGAAACCACCTTATGTGGCCAAATCTTGTGCACAGAGGATGAGAGGGAAGAGTTGTGGAGAGAGCAGCTTCATTTCATTGTGGAGTCTTCCCGGAAGGGTGAAGGGACTTCCGTCCCATGTCCTTGACATCAGAGAGTGTTGGATTCATGCTTCTCAAGGTGGTGCTTCTTTTTCCAAGGCTTTACAAGATGTCAAGCTCATCTCACACCTTTACAACTACGTCCTTCGAGACAGAGCCCTGATTCCTTCAATTGTTCATCCACTTAAGAAATATTTTTAGAGTGTCCACCTTGAGCCAGGCAATGGGGATGAATAGTGATGAACCAAAAAGACCAACCTCCTCTTCCATGGAGCTTACATTCTAATGAGGGAGACAGACAACAAACCAATAGCTATGTCACATGTAGACAATGAAAAATAAGTTGTTACGCTGCTTTCTGGGTATATGGTTACTCTTTCTCCAAGTCTTGTGGTCTCCAGGTAAACCATTGTTAAATCTATTATATGTGTCACCTCTAGTGGTGCCATTTGGCCTTCTTCAACAATTGTTTTGTAATTACGTGCACACACACACAGAGTTACCCAAAACTTCCTCCCATATAATGTTTCTAATTGGTCTACTCTATTTCATAATTATCTAAGCCCCTGTTTTTTGACTTTTTTAAAGCAATGGAAACCTTTTGGATTTTTCCAAACTAGATGGTAAGGTAACCCCAATGTAAAAACTGTTCTTCTCTGGTTGAAGAGGGGTCCCTACCTGCTTAGCCTCCACTAGGTTCCCTGCAATGGCCCTTAGTTTCACCAAGGAGCTCAGGACTACAAGGAATAGTCTGAAAACCATGGGTGAAGTCTTTTTAAGTAGTAGGAAACTGACAATGAAATTATAGTGTAGTTCAGTAGACAAGACTTGTGAACAAGGAAAAGCTAGCAACCTACCAAGGTTAAAGGTAAATAAGTGTGAAACTGTGGTGGAAGCTTTTAAGAAGAAAGTTTCTTATCTTAAAGACCCAAGGGAGCCGATGGAGTGCTTGGCACTGGCTCCCGGTCATTTTCACCAGGCCAGCTTCTCTTAAACCATTCTCAGTGAGTTCAACATCCATGTGGGGGCTCACCCAGTCCCTTGATTTCTTAATCTCTTGATCCCCACTCTCCAGTGATCTTGTCCTCCACTCCACCTCAGCCACACACTCCCTTTGCCACATCCTTGACCTGTCATCACCAAAAACAGCCTCTGCCCCATTCTTCCAGCTTGTCAGCTCTTGAAAATACCTCAACAACCTTCTTTCTCTCCTTTTGTCACGCTCAACAAGTAACACCTTAGCCTGAGATAACCCATCCATTCTTCCTCTCCTTCCCTGAACTCACTCAGCTGAACAAGGCTGAAGAAAATCTCAGAACGAAGCAGACAACTGTAACTTCATAAACACAGCCTTCAATACTGCCTTGCAACTTAGGCAGTTCACTTTCCCCTTCCCCAAAACTAGTTCACACCTTGCCATGCTGCAAACCTCCCATGCTTCCTTTTTGTGCTCCAGTTCAGCGCACTGTCAGTTAATGACCTTACCTCTGACCTCACTGAGAATGGAGAAGCCACCTTCTCACCTCTGCAAGGTGAGAGCTCCCTCCTCTTGTCAAAAGTTCCACACACCTGTTCCTTCCCATGGAGGACATGTCTTCCCTGTTCTCAAAACCAATCTCTGTGTGCTACCCTTCTCAGGGACTTTTGACTTTTTATTATCTCTTCTCATTCTTGGGACTTCCCCTTCTGGATCCTCCATGGAGTCATTCCCATCATCATACGCACATGCTCTGGAATCTCTTGTCAATCAATCAAACACAGCAACGACAAAGCTATCCTGATTCCATATCCCCTTCATCTCTAGCTCAAGCTTCCTCCTTTGAGCTCCAGACATTTCTCTATTTGCCTTGACGCCATTTCCACAAGACTATCTACAGGCATATCAAATTTAATCTGTCCAGAATGGAATTCTTGATTTTCTTCCCCACACCTGTTCTACCTACAATCTTTTCCATTCTGTAAACATCTATCTGTCGTTCAAGCTGGAAACCTGGGAGTCGTTCCTGATTCCTGGGCTCCCCTGTGCTCCTGCCTTCCCCCATTCACCTTCCTTCACCACACAGCAACAAAGCGTCCCTGTCTGCTTCCTGAAGCTACGGACAATCAGTCAGTCTTCCACCATGGAGTCTGACTTAGCTGTGGATTCTTCACGGATGCTGTTTATCAAGTTGAGGAAGTTTCCTTCTATTTCTGGTTGTTGAGTGTTTTTATCATGAAGAGGTGTTGGATTTTGTCAAATGCATGTCTTGTGTCTATTGAGACAATCGTGTGGCTTTTTTCGTTTGTTCCATTCTATTGTCCTTTATTCTATTCATGTGGGCTATTACATTAACTGATTTTCAGATGGTAAATCAACTTTGCACTCCCACTTGGTCATGATGTATAATCCTTTTATTATATTGCTGAGTTCTATTTTCTAGTGTTTCGTTGGTTTTTGTTTGTTTTTTGCATCCCGAAGTGTTCTTATGAACAAATGAGAGCTTTAAATCCTTCACTGGATTCCTGTGGCACTCCAGAGGGCCCCTCTGGAACTCTGCCCAGAGACCCTCCATGGCCCTTTATGCTTATCACCTCCTTGCTTTCCTGCTGCCACTTCCCTGTCCAACTTCCCTGCTCCCTTACTGGTTTCTCCTAGGGACAATTCCTAATAAATCACTTCTCACAAATCCTTTTCTCAGATGTTGCCTGTCAGGATTAGCCTAAGACCCCCCCATGGAGGAGAAGCATCTCTGGTCATGTCACCCCTCACACACACCCACACTCCTCGCACTAAATGGACTCCGTGGCTTTTCCTGCAGGTGATTTATACCCTGAACACTCGCCAGGATGAGGCTGAGGCCAGCATGGAGGCGCTGCGGGAAGCTCACCAGGAGGAGCTCCAGAATGCAGTGGCAGAGACCAAGGCCAGGCTCCTGCAGGAACAGGGCCGCGCAGATGAGGAGGCCCTGCTCCAGCGCATTCGGACCCTGGAGAGCGCCCTGGAGCTGCAGAAGAGGCTGACGCAGGAGGCGCTGGCCCAGTCAGCCACATGCAGGCTGGAGACCAAGGAGAGGGAGCTGAGGGTAGAGGCAGAGCACGCCGAGAGGGTCCTCACCCTCTCCAAGGAGATGCTGGAGCTCAAGGCTGACTATGAGAAGAGGCTCCGGCACCTGACGAGCCACGAGTTGCCCCAGTGGGGCCGGCTTTCCCAGGACAGCCCTGACCCAAAGGCAGAGCCGGGCCGCGGCCCCGAGATGCGGGAGGTCCTGCAGGAGGTAGAGAGGCTGCGAGTGGAGAACCAGCAGCTGAGCAAGGACTATGCCCAGAAGGCCGAGGAGCTGCAGGCCACCTACGAGCGGGAAAATGAGGCCATCCGGCAGGCCATGCAGCAGTCAGTGAGTGAGGCTCTGTGGCAGTGGCAGGAGAAGGAGACCGACCTCCGCAAGAACTTCCAGGTCCAGGAGTCCGCCCTGCAGGCCCAGGTCAGGAAGCTGGAGGGGGACCTGGAGCACAGAGGCCGCAAGATAAGTGACCTGAAGAAGTATGCTCAGAAGCTGAAGGAAAGGATTCAGGTAAAGCAAGATCTCTTGCTGCGTTTCAAATGGGATCGTAAGCTTGGCCCCTAATTTTGAAAACCTACTAAGTGTCAGGCACTGTACGAAGCACTTGACTTCCAACGAAGTGAGTGTTACTATCACCATTGAGTTCAACTCCATTCATTCAGCAAATATTTATTGAACACCTACTGTGTGCCAGTCTAGGGCTATGGGCAGGAGACATAAGGTGAGCTAGACTTGGTCCCTGACCTCAGAGAGCTTAGAGACTTCCAGCTTACAGATGAGAAGATGAGACTAAAATTGGGAGGCTTAAGGACTGGCCTAGCTGGGCACACAGCTAATAAGTTTTTGAACTCAGGTCAGCCTAATTCTAAAGCCCCTGCTCGTTCCATAACAAGTTGCCTCTCCTAAAATCATTGGGACTTTTTGTTCGTGGAGAGCCAGACCACGACAATGACAAGTCAATGCCACGTAATGACAAGTCAATGCCACGTAATGACAATGCCCCACAGACTCACAGAGCCCCATCTCTGAAAGTAGCAGCAACTAATATTCCTAAGACTTCCTGAGCATTTTTTCTGTCTCAGATACTTTATCTCATTTAATCCTCACTCTAGAAAGGTTAAATAACTTGCCTAAGGTCACAAAGCCAATCAGGATGAGTAAGGATTTGATGATTCTGAGCCACTGAATTCCAGAGACTAAAGGCTTGTGCTGTGCACTCACCTACCTTTCAGATCTGATGTCGAATCTATGTACGTAGGATGTCTCTACACAGAACTGTAACCAGAGAAATGAGACCCTCTCTGTCTGTTTAGGACCTGGATGTACAGCTCAAGGAGGCTCGACAGGAGAATTTGGAGTTGAAAAGCACTGCGAAAAAACTTGGGGAGAAGCTGGCTGTTGCCAAAGATAGACTGATGCTGCAGGAGTGTCATGTGACGCAGAAAACCGGTGAGGTTCCTTGGAACGATTTCCTTACAGATGGGAGGTTAGCTGCCAGGTTAGCCTGGCACTGCTTGCAGCCTTGAGACTGTTGAGGGAGCAGAGTGGAGGGGCAGGGCTGTTAGATCTGACCCACCTGGTACCCACCTGGTGGGAAAATCTAATCCATGCAGGACACAGGTGAGCCGACGCCTAGAGCTGCCACAGGCCAGATATCTAAAAGGCAGGATGCAAAAGGACCCCTTGCCCCCAAATATTTCCCCACCAGGCCCACCACAGGGCCCAAACTGCTCAGCACTGGCTTTTCCCCACACTTAGACAATGCTTTATACTTTTAACATCATTTCACATAGTGACGTATTGGGTCTTCCCAATAATTTTGTGCAGTAGGTGTCAGTATCCCATGTTACAGATGAAGAAATGAGGCTGAGCAAGGGTAAGTGGCTACTGAAGGCCAGACAACTGTTTGATGATGGAGCTGATGTTTGTATCTCAGAATATCTGACTCCAAATTGCCTTCCACTAGGCTCCCTTGTCAGAAAGTTCTTGAATACCTACAATGTGATCGGCTTGACCCTAGGAGATATACAAAGCCACAAAACATGAGCTCTGCCTTCAGGGAGCTTACGGGACAGTTACAGTACAGCCCACGGCATGCTTTGGTACCATGGGCATGGCCCAGGCAGGAGGGGAATGAACTGTCCTGGAACAAAGAAATAACTGTGGGCTGGAAAGGTGAAGAGGAGGAGAGGTGTGAGTTGGAACCAGAAGTGTCTGGAGGGCTTAGAGCAGTGGTCTCAAAAGTAGGGCAGAAGTACCTCAGGGAATATAGGAAGAAACTGAGCAATTCTAGTTATATTTATTTTTTTGTCCTATCCTTTAAATTTCTTTAAATTTAAATTCTTTGAATGCACATATTTTCAGGAATGTGGTCAACTTTTTTTAACCTATGGAAAGCACAGTCAGAAAAATCTGAAGATGACTAGTTTAAGAAGGAAGAACATGGCAACTATTTGAACTCAGGATGCTGCTTGAGCAAAGACGGCGTGAGGGCCATGCTTGAGGGCAAGAAGGTCATGGAGCAGGGATTACATAGGGGAGCGGTGGGCAAAATAGTTGAAGAGCAGAATAGGGACCCAACTGCAGAAGGCCAAGGCCAAGGGTACTCCAAATGAGGTTGAAACTTATGCTTCAGATGACGTGAAGACGGAGCTGGTTTCAGAGAATGAAGTCCTAGGGAAAGCGAATGATTTGGAAGCTCGCAGTCCGCATCCTCAGCAGGACCAGAACTTTCTCAAGGAGTGTCCATGCACAAAAGGAGGCACAGATACACAGGTAGTGTCTGACCCAGCCCTGGGGGTGGAGGAGTCACAGGAGGCTTTCCTGGAAAGAGCTACAGGTAGAGGCCAGTCCCAAACTAGGAGGAATCTGCTTGGAAGCAGCACGTCCCATGGTTTTGGGGATGGATATGTGGGTGTGAAGTTCCAGCCAACTTCCTATCGTTTGAAACTAAGAGACCGAGAATGTAGCAGATTTCTCCCAACTCATGGTTGGCTCCGGGGAAACAGAAACTTGCTTAGGATTCCCGATATATGTTCTCAGTCAAAACAAACAAAGCATTATTTAGAAATCACTGTAGTATGGGCTGGAATATTTGATCCTAGATAATAGATACTCTATTCCAAAAAGCCCTTTTCTGATGGCGAGTAAAGTGAAGTTTCTTACAAATATCAAATATATAGTCTTATAAGCTTTATTGCGCCTTGTGATACAAGCTGTAAAATCAGTATATAAACATTGGAAAAGCTGTACAAAAGCAAAGTGGCCGATTCCCTTCTCTTCTCCCACCCTGGCAGCCTCACAGGCCCTTTTTCTTTTTATAGACCAAGAAAGAGGCAAGTATTGAGATGGAATACATGAAGCAACAGTATGAAGAAGACCTTCGCAGAATCAAACATCAGACGGAGGAGGAGAAAAACCACCTCAAAGACCAGCTCGTGAAGAGGCTGGAAGACTTGGTAAAGAGGCACACGGTGGAGGTCAGATCAGTTCGCTCGTCGGTGGAGGCCGAAAGGAAGAAGCTGCAGAAGGTGAGATCCCCTCTAGACACTGTCCTGTTTCTTTTTCGTTTCTTCTACCTCCCTCCTTTCCTCTTTTATTTCTTCTTTCCTTCCTCAAACATGTACTGAGCTCCTGCTGTGTACAGATCTAAGCCAGTTCTCTGACCAAAGGGACCTCAGGATCTTTGGGAGGAGACGGGGACACCCCTTAGACTGCAAGACAATAGGGGTTACAGTTGTTGGCATGGGGTGGAATTGTGTCAGATGAGCATTTAACTTAGGGAAATTCAACTCCCCTTAGCAAAAACAGAGAGAAATAACATGAAGCAAACACTAAGGCTTGGCAGACTGCCTGGATTCAAACCCCAACGCCACCACCCTGTAGCTTTGTGACCACAGCAAGTTATTTAACCTGGGCCCCTCCAAGGGAAATTCTGCATGCCGCAGGTTCCTCATTTATAAAACAGATGATGATAATAGCACCTCAGAGAGTGGCTGCGAGGATTAAATGAAGTAATCCATGTGAAAAAACAAAGCCTATCATAGTGCCTGGGGCGTGATAGGCATTAGGGAGATGCAGGTAATTAATGAGCGGCCTGGCAAAGTGAGGGAAGATGCTCAGTCTCTGGGTACTGTTCCAACTTCCCACCAAAGGGGGCGGCTTTCTGCTGAGAGAGAATGCAAAGCCTCATCTCTCATGTTCGCTGGGAAAAGCAAATGACGTATGTGAATGTTTTAGGAAAAGAGTGAAATGTAAATCAATATTATCGTGAACATGGGTGGTGCTTGGTTACTACAAAAAAGCTGCTTTGTAATCCAAGAGCCTGCATTATCAGCTTTGAGTTTTCACTGAAAGATAATCATACATCACTGAGGAATACAGTGTTGTGTGGTGGCTAAGGGTAGTAAGTACTCAATAAATATGTGAACTCATGAAAGGTCAGACTAGTCCTGGGTCCAAGTCCTGACTCTTGCACTAGCTGTATGACCACGAACAGGTCACTTAACCTCTCTGAAACCTGATTTCCCAAAATAGAGATAAATACTTGTTATGTGGATTAAATGTGGTATTATATATAAACCCTTAACTCTGTGCACAGCATGCAGTAAAAGCTCAATAAACAGTGACTATGATTAGTTGCCACGTGTATTGGGTGACATTGTGTGAAATAACATTTAATGCCCATTATACCTTATAAAGCACTTTATTCTTATGAATACATTTAATCCTCCCAACAGTATTACAAAATGGATGTTCACATCCCTGCTTTAGAGATGAGAAAACTAAGGCCCAAAGATGTTATGTATCAACCCACACAGACGGTGAGTGGTGGTGTGAGTGCTAAAACCTGACAGCCTGACTCCGGAGCCCAGGGTTTGTCACCCCGTGCCGGGTCTGCAGCCGTATTGAAAGCATTTTCCTCCCCAGAAGCGGTGACTGGTCACACAAATCCAGTGGGAGGGACAGGTTGCCCTGGTAACCTGTCAGCCAAACCTGGCTGAGTGTAGAAATCCCACTTCAGCTTTAATCAGGGGGCATAAGGCGATTTGAGAAACAAATTATGTAGAAATAAATTGTGTTTCCTCCTGTTTTTTCGCTTTTCTTTCTTTTACTTTTGTGTCCTTTCTATAAAACGAGGATATAAATTAGGTCATGCAGATTAGGGGAAGGTAAAGCCTTGAAGAAGCCTCAAATCTAGGGTTCATGGACTAAAAACAGACACCAGTTCCCCTCTTGGGTTAAGTGCTCTATTTCTTTGAGCCGTAGAGTGCGGGTGTGTTGTGTATCCTGAATGCTCTCTTAACATAAAGGAGACACTGCAGAGATGGGCTGGAGTTGACCCAGAAGGCCTGTCTGCCTTCCTTGGCCACGGGATTAGATGATATTATCATTTAATCTTGACAGACAGAGCAGAGTACACCTTGTATAATTAGCACTTGCCTACGTTGATTCCTAGGGAGAGCGAGGAAGATTTATTGAGCGCCTCTGAGCCGCGCTGACCACTGCTGCCCTCTACAACTCGTTTGTATCACTTAGGATTCTTGGAGGCAAGCACCACGAACTCACCCTGGGCAGTTTAGGCAGAAAAGGAATTTAGTGAAGGGTAATGAGCAGCTTTCTGGAAGACCAGGGAACTGGGCTTGGCAGCTATCCAGCCAGGAATAATGTCCCAAATCCACTGCAAAACCGCTGACGACACTCCTGCTGCCACCTCTGAGCCCAGACCTGCAGTTTACACTGCTGACACCACCGCCACCCGGCCCTGGACATTGCCTGCAGAACTGCACTGTCTGATACAGTAGCCACTAGACACATGTGGTTATTTGCGTTTAAATTAATTATGATTAAATAAAATTTAAAATTCAGTTCCTCAGTGGAACTAGCCACATTTTAAGTGCTCAATAGCCATAGGTGGCTACTGGCTCCATGTTGGATAGCATGGCACTGAGGGATTTCTACACATTAGCTACATTATATTTTAGATATTTCCCTCATCATGGAAAGTTCTGTTGGTCAGTGCTGCTCTAGAATGACTGGCCCTGCTGCTCTGGAAGCTGCAGTTGCCAGATCCTGCGTGACTCTGCCTGTACATATTGGTGGCTTCTGCTTGGAAATCTGGGTAGGGTGTGTCTAACTGGTGGAGCCTCAGTCACACGCGCTATTTGCAAAGGAGTCTGGGAAGGTAAGGCTGGCGTTTTCAGGTTCTGCAGTGGGAGGAGGGCTCTTAGGTATCAGATGGAGAATTTCCCAGACGTCCAGAGAGGGATCAGATGCCAAAAGGGAGGAAAGCTCTCCACTCCATGATTTGATCCTCACTGCAGCCCTGTAGATAGGGGTTGTTTTCCCATTTCACACATGAGGAACCCAGGAAATTAAGTAACTTGAGTGTCACACTGCTCAGAAATGACAGAGTCGGGTGTGAACCAGGCCTGCCTGACTCCAAAGCCACTAACTTTTGCACTCTGTCTCTGTGGCATAACAGAATAGACATTGCCCTGGGCCTTGGAGAGCAGGCTTCAGGTCCTCACCCTGCCACTATCCATATACTGTGTATTTACTGTTTATCGAATGTGTACTCTGTGTTTTGAACAATCCAAAGATACAGGAACGAGCCATGCTTTCAAGGAACTCATAGTCTGATAGGAGAAATAAGATGTGCGCGCAAATAACCGGTGCCAAGTCAGTGTGTAAGAAGCCCTGTACCCAGGGAAGCAGTCCCATCCCAAACCATTCTAGGCCTCTGCTTTCTAATTTAAATAATAATTGTGAATATGAATGATTTCCTCAAAATTTTTCCCCAACTCTTTATTTCTATCAATTCCGAAAGTACTCTTCATTATTTAACAATATGTTGCTTAATATTCTGGACCTTTCCAGGTATCTTTTTGTTATTGATTTGTAATTCAATTCCCTTGTGGTCAAAGAATAGATTCTATAATTTCATTCCTCTTCAATTTATTCATCTTGTTCTATAGCCCAAATATGGTCTATCTGGATGGGTGGTCCGTGTGCACTGGAAAGAATACGGGTCTGCTGCTGTCAGGTGGAGTGTTCCATGGATGATAATTAGGTCAAGTTGGTTGATAGTGTTGTTCGAGTCTTTTATTTCCTTACTAATTTTTTTCTCTACTTGTTCTGTTGATTACTGAGAGAGAAGCTTTGAAATCTCAAATTTAAATTGTCGATTTTTATATTTCTCCTTTTGGTTCTATCAGTTTTCACTTTATAGAAATTCAAAATTATTTATTAGGTGCATACACATTTAGGATTATTATGTCTTCTTGATGATTTGGGCCTTTAATCATTTATGAAATGTTCCTTGTGCTGAAGTCTACTGTGATAAAAATATAGATATGCTATTATTTTTATGGTTAGTGCTGCATGATTTATTTTAATCCATTATTTTAATCCATTCCTTTACTTTTAACCTACCTGTGTCTTTCTATTCAAAGTGCTTTTGTGGTATAGCTGGGTCTTACTCTTTTATTCAGTTTGACAATCTGACTTTTAGGGTCATTTGGACCATTTACATGTAATGTAATTATCATTAAGTTTATCATCTTGCTGTTTTTTTGTCACATCTTTTCTTTTCACCTCTTTTTCTGTTTATTTTTGATTCATTGAATATTTTATTGGTATTCCCTTTGTTGTCTCTGCTAATGACTTATTAGCTATTTTTCTCTTTTTAAGGGAGCTGGTGCTAGTGTTTGCTCTAGGATTTATAGCGTCTTTAATTTATCACTGTCTGCCATCAAATAATATTATATTACTTCACACATATCTATTACTTCACTGTACAAACCTTACATTTCCATTTCTCCTTTCCTGTCCTTTGTGCAATTGTTGTCATATGTTTTATTTTACATGTTATAAACTCAACAGTGCATTGCTTTTCTATTTCCTTAACCACTCAATTTATCTTTTAGAGAAAATTTTTAAATGAGAAAACAAGTCTTTTGTATTTTCCCATTTGCCATTTTTACACTCTTTATTCTTTTGGTAGATTCCAGCTCCCGTCTGGTATCATTTTCTTTTAGCCTGAAGAAGTTTCTTTAACGTTTCTTGGAGTATCAGTCTGCTCACAACAAAATCTATCAGGTTTTATATGTCTGAAAATATCTTTATTTTGTCTTCATTTTTGAAAGCTATTTTGCTAGATATAGAATTCTAGGTTAATGGTAATTTTTCTTTCAGCACTTTAAAGATACTGTTCAACATTTTTTGGTCTGTATTTTCTTCAGATGAAAAATTAATAGCCACTTTTACCTTTTTTCCTCTGTGCATAATGTGTCTTTTTGTTCTCTGACTGCTTTTACGATTTTCTCTTTATTACTGGCTTCCACAATTTGATTATGATATGCCATAGTGTGATTTTCTTTGTGTTTTTCTGCTTGGGGTTCATTGGACATCTTAGCTATGTGAGTTTACAGTTTTTATCCAGTTTTGAAATTTTAAGGCCATTATCGTTTCCGTCCCTGCCTTCTGATATTGTTCCGTAAGTCATCGAGGCTCTGTTCATTTATTTTCA